GGTGGCCCCAGCGCTAAAATACGAATCAAATTGAACTGAAAGTTATATTTTTGTCAATCACTTATCTAGATGATTCATCTGAGAAAGTTTGAGGAATTTGATCTTTTCTGGTCCAAATGGCCATAGTTGAAATTTACAGAGGGCGACTCTTAAAAATAGGCTAAATGTAGTCCTCTTGTTAAGCTGTCTTGGGTTGTAAATTTGGAAAATTTGTCAAATAATTTAGTTCTAAACAAATCGCTATTTGTTTAGCTCTAAATATACAAGAAAAGAAGTACAAATACGACATGCAATCAGTTTGTTATGAAGATTTTTACTTTTCAGTTTACAAGCTTCTGAATATGCCGCTCATTTTCGATCAATTTTGGGCGATTTGAGGCACTGAGAAGAAAAAAATTGCGTTACAAAATAATTTTTGATTTATCAAACTTAAGGTGGCTCCCTAAAGTATTTGCAAACACCCTTCCTATAGAGCATGAGTTAGAAAAGGAAACTTAGTTAATTTCCCTTAAAGTTTTCCCTGTAGAGATTTACCAGTATGGGTACTGTCAGAATAACGCTTATTTTTTGGTTGTCAATTTTTGGATTAAGGCCATTGCCATGGCAACATTTCATCTAATGACAGGCAGATATATTCATCATTTTGGCCTAAACTCCTTAATATTTATACTTTCCTTCAGTGACATTTTTTCATACTTTGCCACATCATGGAAATGATGTTGCCTTTATGTGTAAAACTGGTGAGTGAACAAAAAATTATATTATTTCTTTACTGTGCAACAAAACGTCCCACAGAAGCTGAGAGAATTTACTTTGTGAAAGTGAGTTAATTATTGACTTAAGAGGACAACACAACAGAATTTTATTCTTGTACTATAACAGCTAACATTTGAGAAAACAATAAAAAATAAAAGCGAAGAACTCATGTAAAAATCAATCTGAAAACAAGACATCAAGTAATTTCTTTGCTGTGTGAAGAAATATTATGGGACTGCAAAAGAAAGATGAAAGTCGTAAATAAAAAATATGACAAAAACAAGCCAATTATTTTGAGACCAGTCGTATTTCAACTGTGTAAACAAGTGGCCATTTAGTTCTTTTCTCAGCGGTTCTGTAGCAGCTGCATAAGACTCCAAAAAATATTTGAATGAAGCCAATAAACTAAATAAACAAAACACCTGGAGTTCACTGTAAATTAAATATGCAGAAATCCAGCGTGCAAGTTACTGTTCACATTTAAAACCTACAGGGAACCAAATGAAAGAAATGCAAAAGGAAGTTCAATAACAATAAATTTTCATTCATGCTGAGGTGAAGAAACCTATTTAAAAGCAAAAAATTGTTCAAAAATTTCGCAGACATGCTTTGCTGCATGATCACATGTTCAAATTATTCTTCATGCTAATGAGAAAGCTTGAGTTTTTGCCGACCACTTTTGCAGTCATTTTAACGCCCGTGGCTTTACCAATCATTCCAAAAGTTGAATTCAACTTCAAAGTAATAATTACCATTTTTGTTTCTTTAGCCCGAAAAGCTACTTTAAATCTGCGATCTGTCGTCAAAACTTACTTGAAAGCACTCCCATCTTCATGTTTTCGCAACGGCTGTAGGAAGAAAAACTTCTTCACCAGAAAGTTTTGAGGACTCTGTAGTCTTTGATCCTCCATTCTGAGGCCACCTAAACATTGATTTGTAGTTTTCCTTTCTATTTTAAAGCCCAAAGCAGTAATTTATCCGTGTTAGGAATCAAAACAAGACCTTGGAAGTTTTTGGATTTGGCCTGCAACACACCATGATTTACCTGCACTTTTCAAGCGCATGATTTTAAGAAGAAAACCTGTCTTTCTAGGACCCCTTATGTCCTCTTAAATTATGCTCAGAAAGTCCATTCTGATTGGTTTATTTGTCCTCAAGAACAATAGGAGAACCAAAAAGTCTTCAGGGAGGGTAGGAAAGGCAATTGTCCCATGTGCTTTTACTCGTGCAGTTACAGGCGGCACAGGAAAGTAGGAGTTATTCGCACGGGCGGTTATGGGAGGCACAGGCGTCAATGGGTTAATGACTTGAACAAATAATTCCACTCATTCCATCAAAATTTAAAGCAATAAAATATATTACCAACATGTTTTCCCAAAGTCTTGAGAAGGCTGAGTCACCTTCTAAGTCTGTGTATTGTTTTCAAATTCATTACTGGCAGCACTATCTTTGAATTCCTGGCCACAAAAGGAGAAATTTTAAACTTCTGAAGGTTCAAAGCAATGGAGTTTGGCTTATAAAAGTATAATGGCTCCTGTACAACCTGCACTGAACACAGGCTGAGTCTGTGCTGGCATACATGAGGAAATTAACTCTCATTTCTCAATCCGTATAAACACCTGAAAGTGAAACAACAATTGCAAAAGGATATCGTGAACCACATAAAAAGATGGAAAATAGCATAGCATTAATCAGGTTGTCATGTTCGTACTTCTCTTAAGACTGAATATTTTAAAGATTGACCAAGTCTTCTCCACGGCAGATTTGAATTGGTGAGCCTTTTGGTGATGCCTTGGTGAAAAGTTTCCCACCCATCTGCCAAAAATTCAGCAGTTCATTGTTCTCCTGTTTCATGTTGGCCTTGTTAATAAGATGCTTTCTGTAGGCCATTGCATTTTCACACATATGGATATGGTTTGAGAAAATCCTGGACAGTCTGGAATAAGGCCAAGTTAAGGACACATTTTTTTACCAGGTTGTTGCTTTAGTTATAAACTTGGGATGTCACTTAATGGCTGGCAAATTTTACTTTAATCACCTTGCTGTGCTTGATATCCTTGGGGCAAAAGGTGACATTCACAGCATTAGCCAGCTTGAGCAATGCCTCTTTTTGTGCAAATACTTGTTCCAGGTCATCCTGCTTACACTACATGTTGTCCATTTCTTCTTCTTGTTTCCTGACTTTGGAAACAGCAGCATCCAGTTCCTTCGCAAGCAAATTATTCTGGGAAACTGCTTTTGTCAGTTGTTGCTGCACTTGGTTAAGCTCATGGTCCTGTGTGTCTATTGACTCTTGAAATACCTCACTGTATTTTATCTTTCAATCTTTAAATTCTCTGATGTCAGAATTTGTTTCAGGAGTAGACGACAACTCTGAAGCTGCTGCAGGTAAGCCATAATTTATTCTCCAGAACACTCACGTGGTCATCCTCTTTGTGCTGGGCAATTTTGGGATCCGGAGATATTCAATTTCCATCTGAAGAATAACGTTGTTCTTGTTTCTTGCCTGGAGTTGTCATAATGTGTTCTTTTGTAAAACTTGCCAAACTTACTGAAATTTTGGGAGGTCGACACGCTCCATTAAAACACACGTCCGTCACTCAAAATTCCCAACCGAAACTCTCCAGACTTGTAAGAAGTCCCTGCTTATTGTATTGAATCCTTTTATAAAGACGCCTTCCCTATAGTTTTCAAACATTTATGCCCATTGGTCGAGTGAACAAGCATCAAAGCATTAGCCCTCAAGAGTTCTATCCTTGCTTTGAGTGGTGCTACTGCCCTTTTTCTATAGCCTTTTTGCGTGTCCTGAAGTGATTCTCAGATCCTAAAGGCCATTACATTCCTGAAATTACTAGAGACTCATTTGGGGTTCAGGTTGAACAAATATGAGGATCATTTCAAAACCAGTACCAGTTTTGGGAGTGTTGTAAAGGCTGCCAAATGACGTGCACTAAAGTTCCTTGCATACACCTTTCTAGGCAATCAAAACCAAATGATTATCCAATTTAATGTACCTTAGTATTCAGCATTGTTGTACAGCTGTTATATGTCATGATAGAGGAATACAAGAGGATGATTTCATTAGTGTTGATCTACAAGTACATATATTATCTTCTGTAAATATAGAGCAATTCCTATCACTTACCTTCATTCACCTAGGCAATATTACCCACATGAAAATGTATTGAACACTCAGGAACAATTATTATCTCAGAGCGTTCAACACATTTTCATGTGGATATCCTCTGCCAATTATGTTTTTCAAAAATATACATTGTGAATCTGTATTCCTTTGAAACTGACCTTTTGCTTTACAATACTCCACAATTGAGGGGTAACACCCTTTATGAGGCCTAGTAAGGTTGTTCTCCTTGAATACACTCTTTCTTCTGAATGCATTACTTACTTTAGTAACTGTTGTAGAACGTTTAAGAACAGTACCAGCCTCTTCAACATAGCTCTCTGTAATATAACCACTGCCTTCAAGAACAAAACCAAAAAGACAAATACATTAGAGAGGTCATGGCAACAGGTTTACAGGAACATTTGTTACACAAGTGAACATTTGAGAGGTTAGATGATTTTTTGTGATGTGATATATCCTGTTTTTGTGACGTGATAAATGGTTCTTACTGAAAATGTGCTCGAATTTCGAGTGATAATTCATTCTTCTTGAAAATTAGTTGCGAATTTTTGAGTAAACATTCGCTTTGTTTATCACTTGTGACTTCACTAGAAAAGTTTGAGTGACTACGCGAATATTCTCTGTAAAGCCAGCATTACAACTGCCAAGTTTTGCTTCATAAACTGGATCAACTGTTCTACCAAACTCATCTGCTTATTATCAAATTAATGCTTAACTGTTATGGTGATTCCAAAACCTAAACATATCAAAGTTGCAACAAAATCCCTTGTTGTTATTCACTCCACACTTGTCAAGACCCCCAGTTTCCCTCGGTACAAAACACACGAAATTTCCTGCCTGAAGCCCAGTCTCTAAGTGCCTGCTTTGTTTGCTAACATAGTGATGGTTTGTTTGAGGTTCGTGTGGTATTTCAATTGTCATTCGCTTTAAAGCAATCTAGTGGTTAACATGCCAAAGTTTTCAACTTACACAAGAACTTGAATCGAACTTCTTCACAAGCAAGGTATCCACCCAGGTGGAATATTTACATCTTTGAAAAGCGAAGGTTTATCTGTAAGCTTTCGTAGTGTTACTCGCATTGTCAAAAAGCTGCGCATTACTGGTTCTGTGGCAAATCTACTGCATTCCAGGAGACCTCAAAAACTGTCTATAGAAGCCAAAGCTTTTATAGATCAGCAAATGCAACATAATGACAAGATGATGAGTGCCCAGATTAAGAAGAAGCTGTGTTCCTTCTCTGAGGAACACAACATTAACTGGTGGTGTACCCCCTGGAGAGTCCTGACCTTAACATGATCGAGGACTTGTGGCACAAGCTCAAGTTCCTCTAGGAATTGAAGGTGATGCCATGCAACAAGCAAGAACTAATGAATGGGATCAAGAAGTTCTGGGAAAGGAGAATCATGCCGGAGAAATGTGCAAAACATATAGATCACATTCTGTACAAAGCGATTCCAATGGCTCTTTTAGGAGCCACTGTGCCCTACTTCGTCAAATGTGGATTTGACATTGCACTGTAGGTCGCTAAAAGTGGCTCTTTTAGGGGCCACCACATCTCATAAAAGACCAACGTGAATCCTGGATTTACTTCAAATGTTCTAAAATTAATAGACACAAGGTTCCATTACACTAGTTATATTTTAAATTAAGTCAAGTAACCCACATGGCTACATATCTCTAAATGCCTCTCTTAAAACTTTTCCACTTTTTATGGCTGCACACAAAATCAATCCTATGAACTTGAAGTTAGTTTTTTGTCCGAGTGAAAAATCTAATGATCTTTTAGAGAATTATAATCTTCTTGAGGCATGTGTTTATTGAAATGCTGATAACAACAGATTATTCAAACCTAGATTTCACTTGTTTTCAAATGTCAAAAGTGTAATATAATGTATCAACAGTGTTGCTCTTAAAAAGAAAAGGCATGCTTTTATTCAAACCTAGATTTTACTCGTACCGTATGTAAATGGGAGGCTTTTTTATTTGTTTTCAAACAGCAAAAGTGTGATTCTTTTGGATGTTTTTTATATCAACAGAGTTGCTCTTTAAAAGAAAAGTCACACGTAATCAGAGGTAAATTTTATCTGTAATTAGCAGCCTTTTTATCGCTATTCAAATGGCGAAAGTGTGACCTTTTNCCAAAGTTGTGCAATAAGCTGCCTAGCGAAATTAGAACCCTCCCATCACTATTAAGTTTTAAAAATCGTATCCGTAAATTTGATTTAAGACAAGATATTTTTGAACTTCGAGCATTGTGCCGCCAAAAAGACCATAATAATCTTTTGCCGCCGGTCAAATTTAGTTGGAATCACGTGTGTTTCGCACCAGGGAATGACTTTGGTGGCCGCTTTGATCATTTTGACTCATATAAAGTGCTGTTCCCTTTGCTCATTTCTAACCTTTCTCGGAAGGATATGAAGCATTTTGTGGTAGAAAAACCCCAAGGATGCAAATGGAAGATTTGCTTGATGGAGTTCACCATTCCCAGATTCAGGACCGAGAAATATGGTAAACATTCGTTCACCTACCTGGGACCAAAGTTGTGCAATAAGCTGCCTAGCGAAATTAGAACCCTCCCATCACTATTAAGTTTTAAAAATCGTATCCGTAAATTTGATTTAAGACAAGATATTTTTGAACTTCGAGCATTGTGCCGCCAAAAAGACCATAATAATCTTTTGCCGCCGGTCAAATTTAGTTGGAATCACGTGTGTTTCGCACCAGGGAATGACTTTGGTGGCCGCTTTGATCATTTTGACTCATATAAAGTGCTGTTCCCTTTGCTCATTTCTAACCTTTCTCGGAAGGATATGAAGCATTTTGTGGTAGAAAAACCCCAAGGATGCAAATGGAAGATTTGCTTGATGGAGTTCACCATTCCCAGATTCAGGACCGAGAAATATGGTAAACATTCGTTCACCTACCTGGGACCAAAGTTGTGCAATAAGCTGCCTAGCGAAATTAGAACCCTCCCATCACTATTAAGTTTTAAAAATCGTATCCGTAAATTTGATTTAAGACAAGATATTTTTGAACTTCGAGCATTGTGCCGCCAAAAAGACCATAATAATCTTTTGCCGCCGGTCAAATTTAGTTGGAATCACGTGTGTTTCGCACCAGGGAATGACTTTGGTGGCCGCTTTGATCATTTTGACTCATATAAAGTGCTGTTCCCTTTGCTCATTTCTAACCTTTCTCGGAAGGATATGAAGCATTTTGTGGTAGAAAAACCCCAAGGATGCAAATGGAAGATTTGCTTGATGGAGTTCACCATTCCCAGATTCAGGACCGAGAAATATGGTAAACATTCGTTCACCTACCTGGGACCAAAGTTGTGCAATAAGCTGCCTAGCGAAATTAGAACCCTCCCATCACTATTAAGTTTTAAAAATCGTATCCGTAAATTTGATTTAAGACAAGATATTTTTGAACTTCGAGCATTGTGCCGCCAAAAAGACCATAATAATCTTTTGCCGCCGGTCAAATTTAGTTGGAATCACGTGTGTTTCGCACCAGGGAATGACTTTGGTGGCCGCTTTGATCATTTTGACTCATATAAAGTGCTGTTCCCTTTGCTCATTTCTAACCTTTCTCGGAAGGATATGAAGCATTTTGTGGTAGAAAAACCCCAAGGATGCAAATGGAAGATTTGCTTGATGGAGTTCACCATTCCCAGATTCAGGACCGAGAAATATGGTAAACATTCGTTCACCTACCTGGGACCAAAGTTGTGCAATAAGCTGCCTAGCGAAATTAGAACCCTCCCATCACTATTAAGTTTTAAAAATCGTATCCGTAAATTTGATTTAAGACAAGATATTTTTGAACTTCGAGCATTGTGCCGCCAAAAAGACCATAATAATCTTTTGCCGCCGGTCAAATTTAGTTGGAATCACGTGTGTTTCGCACCAGGGAATGACTTTGGTGGCCGCTTTGATCATTTTGACTCATATAAAGTGCTGTTCCCTTTGCTCATTTCTAACCTTTCTCGGAAGGATATGAAGCATTTTGTGGTAGAAAAACCCCAAGGATGCAAATGGAAGATTTGCTTGATGGAGTTCACCATTCCCAGATTCAGGACCGAGAAATATGGTAAACATTCGTTCACCTACCTGGGACCAAAGTTGTGCAATAAGCTGCCTAGCGAAATTAGAACCCTCCCATCACTATTAAGTTTTAAAAATCGTATCCGTAAATTTGATTTAAGACAAGATATTTTTGAACTTCGAGCATTGTGCCGCCAAAAAGACCATAATAATCTTTTGCCGCCGGTCAAATTTAGTTGGAATCACGTGTGTTTCGCACCAGGGAATGACTTTGGTGGCCGCTTTGATCATTTTGACTCATATAAAGTGCTGTTCCCTTTGCTCATTTCTAACCTTTCTCGGAAGGATATGAAGCATTTTGTGGTAGAAAAACCCCAAGGATGCAAATGGAAGATTTGCTTGATGGAGTTCACCATTCCCAGATTCAGGACCGAGAAATATGGTAAACATTCGTTCACCTACCTGGGACCAAAGTTGTGCAATAAGCTGCCTAGCGAAATTAGAACCCTCCCATCACTATTAAGTTTTAAAAATCGTATCCGTAAATTTGATTTAAGACAAGATATTTTTGAACTTCGAGCATTGTGCCGCCAAAAAGACCATAATAATCTTTTGCCGCCGGTCAAATTTAGTTGGAATCACGTGTGTTTCGCACCAGGGAATGACTTTGGTGGCCGCTTTGATCATTTTGACTCATATAAAGTGCTGTTCCCTTTGCTCATTTCTAACCTTTCTCGGAAGGATATGAAGCATTTTGTGGTAGAAAAACCCCAAGGATGCAAATGGAAGATTTGCTTGATGGAGTTCACCATTCCCAGATTCAGGACCGAGAAATATGGTAAACATTCGTTCACCTACCTGGGACCAAAGTTGTGCAATAAGCTGCCTAGCGAAATTAGAACCCTCCCATCACTATTAAGTTTTAAAAATCGTATCCGTAAATTTGATTTAAGACAAGATATTTTTGAACTTCGAGCATTGTGCCGCCAAAAAGACCATAATAATCTTTTGCCGCCGGTCAAATTTAGTTGGAATCACGTGTGTTTCGCACCAGGGAATGACTTTGGTGGCCGCTTTGATCATTTTGACTCATATAAAGTGCTGTTCCCTTTGCTCATTTCTAACCTTTCTCGGAAGGATATGAAGCATTTTGTGGTAGAAAAACCCCAAGGATGCAAATGGAAGATTTGCTTGATGGAGTTCACCATTCCCAGATTCAGGACCGAGAAATATGGTAAACATTCGTTCACCTACCTGGGACCAAAGTTGTGCAATAAGCTGCCTAGCGAAATTAGAACCCTCCCATCACTATTAAGTTTTAAAAATCGTATCCGTAAATTTGATTTAAGACAAGATATTTTTGAACTTCGAGCATTGTGCCGCCAAAAAGACCATAATAATCTTTTGCCGCCGGTCAAATTTAGTTGGAATCACGTGTGTTTCGCACCAGGGAATGACTTTGGTGGCCGCTTTGATCATTTTGACTCATATAAAGTGCTGTTCCCTTTGCTCATTTCTAACCTTTCTCGGAAGGATATGAAGCATTTTGTGGTAGAAAAACCCCAAGGATGCAAATGGAAGATTTGCTTGATGGAGTTCACCATTCCCAGATTCAGGACCGAGAAATATGGTAAACATTCGTTCACCTACCTGGGACCAAAGTTGTGCAATAAGCTGCCTAGCGAAATTAGAACCCTCCCATCACTATTAAGTTTTAAAAATCGTATCCGTAAATTTGATTTAAGACAAGATATTTTTGAACTTCGAGCATTGTGCCGCCAAAAAGACCATAATAATCTTTTGCCGCCGGTCAAATTTAGTTGGAATCACGTGTGTTTCGCACCAGGGAATGACTTTGGTGGCCGCTTTGATCATTTTGACTCATATAAAGTGCTGTTCCCTTTGCTCATTTCTAACCTTTCTCGGAAGGATATGAAGCATTTTGTGGTAGAAAAACCCCAAGGATGCAAATGGAAGATTTGCTTGATGGAGTTCACCATTCCCAGATTCAGGACCGAGAAATATGGTAAACATTCGTTCACCTACCTGGGACCAAAGTTGTGCAATAAGCTGCCTAGCGAAATTAGAACCCTCCCATCACTATTAAGTTTTAAAAATCGTATCCGTAAATTTGATTTAAGACAAGATATTTTTGAACTTCGAGCATTGTGCCGCCAAAAAGACCATAATAATCTTTTGCCGCCGGTCAAATTTAGTTGGAATCACGTGTGTTTCGCACCAGGGAATGACTTTGGTGGCCGCTTTGATCATTTTGACTCATATAAAGTGCTGTTCCCTTTGCTCATTTCTAACCTTTCTCGGAAGGATATGAAGCATTTTGTGGTAGAAAAACCCCAAGGATGCAAATGGAAGATTTGCTTGATGGAGTTCACCATTCCCAGATTCAGGACCGAGAAATATGGTAAACATTCGTTCACCTACCTGGGACCAAAGTTGTGCAATAAGCTGCCTAGCGAAATTAGAACCCTCCCATCACTATTAAGTTTTAAAAATCGTATCCGTAAATTTGATTTAAGACAAGATATTTTTGAACTTCGAGCATTGTGCCGCCAAAAAGACCATAATAATCTTTTGCCGCCGGTCAAATTTAGTTGGAATCACGTGTGTTTCGCACCAGGGAATGACTTTGGTGGCCGCTTTGATCATTTTGACTCATATAAAGTGCTGTTCCCTTTGCTCATTTCTAACCTTTCTCGGAAGGATATGAAGCATTTTGTGGTAGAAAAACCCCAAGGATGCAAATGGAAGATTTGCTTGATGGAGTTCACCATTCCCAGATTCAGGACCGAGAAATATGGTAAACATTCGTTCACCTACCTGGGACCAAAGTTGTGCAATAAGCTGCCTAGCGAAATTAGAACCCTCCCATCACTATTAAGTTTTAAAAATCGTATCCGTAAATTTGATTTAAGACAAGATATTTTTGAACTTCGAGCATTGTGCCGCCAAAAAGACCATAATAATCTTTTGCCGCCGGTCAAATTTAGTTGGAATCACGTGTGTTTCGCACCAGGGAATGACTTTGGTGGCCGCTTTGATCATTTTGACTCATATAAAGTGCTGTTCCCTTTGCTCATTTCTAACCTTTCTCGGAAGGATATGAAGCATTTTGTGGTAGAAAAACCCCAAGGATGCAAATGGAAGATTTGCTTGATGGAGTTCACCATTCCCAGATTCAGGACCGAGAAATATGGTAAACATTCGTTCACCTACCTGGGACCAAAGTTGTGCAATAAGCTGCCTAGCGAAATTAGAACCCTCCCATCACTATTAAGTTTTAAAAATCGTATCCGTAAATTTGATTTAAGACAAGATATTTTTGAACTTCGAGCATTGTGCCGCCAAAAAGACCATAATAATCTTTTGCCGCCGGTCAAATTTAGTTGGAATCACGTGTGTTTCGCACCAGGGAATGACTTTGGTGGCCGCTTTGATCATTTTGACTCATATAAAGTGCTGTTCCCTTTGCTCATTTCTAACCTTTCTCGGAAGGATATGAAGCATTTTGTGGTAGAAAAACCCCAAGGATGCAAATGGAAGATTTGCTTGATGGAGTTCACCATTCCCAGATTCAGGACCGAGAAATATGGTAAACATTCGTTCACCTACCTGGGACCAAAGTTGTGCAATAAGCTGCCTAGCGAAATTAGAACCCTCCCATCACTATTAAGTTTTAAAAATCGTATCCGTAAATTTGATTTAAGACAAGATATTTTTGAACTTCGAGCATTGTGCCGCCAAAAAGACCATAATAATCTTTTGCCGCCGGTCAAATTTAGTTGGAATCACGTGTGTTTCGCACCAGGGAATGACTTTGGTGGCCGCTTTGATCATTTTGACTCATATAAAGTGCTGTTCCCTTTGCTCATTTCTAACCTTTCTCGGAAGGATATGAAGCATTTTGTGGTAGAAAAACCCCAAGGATGCAAATGGAAGATTTGCTTGATGGAGTTCACCATTCCCAGATTCAGGACCGAGAAATATGGTAAACATTCGTTCACCTACCTGGGACCAAAGTTGTGCAATAAGCTGCCTAGCGAAATTAGAACCCTCCCATCACTATTAAGTTTTAAAAATCGTATCCGTAAATTTGATTTAAGACAAGATATTTTTGAACTTCGAGCATTGTGCCGCCAAAAAGACCATAATAATCTTTTGCCGCCGGTCAAATTTAGTTGGAATCACGTGTGTTTCGCACCAGGGAATGACTTTGGTGGCCGCTTTGATCATTTTGACTCATATAAAGTGCTGTTCCCTTTGCTCATTTCTAACCTTTCTCGGAAGGATATGAAGCATTTTGTGGTAGAAAAACCCCAAGGATGCAAATGGAAGATTTGCTTGATGGAGTTCACCATTCCCAGATTCAGGACCGAGAAATATGGTAAACATTCGTTCACCTACCTGGGACCAAAGTTGTGCAATAAGCTGCCTAGCGAAATTAGAACCCTCCCATCACTATTAAGTTTTAAAAATCGTATCCGTAAATTTGATTTAAGACAAGATATTTTTGAACTTCGAGCATTGTGCCGCCAAAAAGACCATAATAATCTTTTGCCGCCGGTCAAATTTAGTTGGAATCACGTGTGTTTCGCACCAGGGAATGACTTTGGTGGCCGCTTTGATCATTTTGACTCATATAAAGTGCTGTTCCCTTTGCTCATTTCTAACCTTTCTCGGAAGGATATGAAGCATTTTGTGGTAGAAAAACCCCAAGGATGCAAATGGAAGATTTGCTTGATGGAGTTCACCATTCCCAGATTCAGGACCGAGAAATATGGTAAACATTCGTTCACCTACCTGGGACCAAAGTTGTGCAATAAGCTGCCTAGCGAAATTAGAACCCTCCCATCACTATTAAGTTTTAAAAATCGTATCCGTAAATTTGATTTAAGACAAGATATTTTTGAACTTCGAGCATTGTGCCGCCAAAAAGACCATAATAATCTTTTGCCGCCGGTCAAATTTAGTTGGAATCACGTGTGTTTCGCACCAGGGAATGACTTTGGTGGCCGCTTTGATCATTTTGACTCATATAAAGTGCTGTTCCCTTTGCTCATTTCTAACCTTTCTCGGAAGGATATGAAGCATTTTGTGGTAGAAAAACCCCAAGGATGCAAATGGAAGATTTGCTTGATGGAGTTCACCATTCCCAGATTCAGGACCGAGAAATATGGTAAACATTCGTTCACCTACCTGGGACCAAAGTTGTGCAATAAGCTGCCTAGCGAAATTAGAACCCTCCCATCACTATTAAGTTTTAAAAATCGTATCCGTAAATTTGATTTAAGACAAGATATTTTTGAACTTCGAGCATTGTGCCGCCAAAAAGACCATAATAATCTTTTGCCGCCGGTCAAATTTAGTTGGAATCACGTGTGTTTCGCACCAGGGAATGACTTTGGTGGCCGCTTTGATCATTTTGACTCATATAAAGTGCTGTTCCCTTTGCTCATTTCTAACCTTTCTCGGAAGGATATGAAGCATTTTGTGGTAGAAAAACCCCAAGGATGCAAATGGAAGATTTGCTTTGGCAGACTTGCCATGAGATGTGAACAATGCTGGCCGTTTGTTAGAAAAGTTATGGCTGATTCTGATGGTTTGAGACGGCTTACTTTTGATACTTTCTTGCCAAATCAATTCATTAAAGGTATGTAATTGCTTTACTTCTATAACCTAAGTTATTTCTGTGACAACTGATACTTTTAAACTCTGAAATCTCTGTAAAAGGCTGCTTTAAAGCATAATTAGCACAATGGTCGAGCGCTAAACCGGTTGAGCTTAGCTTGCGTTCTCCCATTCATCGAGCGAAATTTTCCCTGAGAAAACAACGCTCAAACGAGATTATTTGTGAAATTTATGGAACTGCCAACATTTCAAAATAAAGGTTTTGATCTCTCCTGTTCTGTTGAAACCGTAATTTGTTAATTGTATCACCGTAAGCAGAAAATACATCCTTGAGTTTTTATGCATTTGGGAATTGAAATAAAATATACCGTTGTGCGAAACCCATATTATTTACCTGTTTCTTGTCAGGCTAGGCTGCGAAAAATCTTGTTGTACCAGGGATTACACTTATTAACTTAAAGTTTCTAGATGTTCTACATTTGATCCGAGCATTACTTACTTTAAATGTATTTGAACCGGTTGACTGATCTCGCCTCAAACTTGCAGGGTCAAGTGCATTCTCAACTTTCAACATCGCCCTGTCAGCAAGAGATCTGCTTCCATTTGGTAAGTACTGGATTACTGATCATACTGTTATTTCGAACATCACTTCTGGTGTTTTCACTTTGCATGGTAAAGTGCTTTTGAAATCATGAACTTTTCCAATGATCTGCAATTCCTTCATGGCAGAGATAATTGGTTAACGAATTTTTTATGGCAGTACTTTTTATCCGCTTTGTTGTAAGTTCATTCTATAGTGTACCAGACATATGTCACTCTAATACACAACGTTAAAGTGAAAGCTTCTCAGTGCTACCTAAATAAATGCGGTTTTGGTTTGAACCGGTTGCGTGCTTTTAATTTAAAAATACACCACTCGGTTTGTTTATATTGACATTCGAAACCACGTGCGTTCGAGCTTCCTTCACGTGCGAGCGTTCTTTAGCCTGAGGGTTGTACTTTTCATATTTGGACACCAACATTCTTTGCCTTGTACATTATTTGTGGAAAGTTCACATCATTTCCAAGAATTTTTATTGCTCATACAAGTGAAGCTGTTACCAAACAACTTAAGCTAGACTGCTGGGCCGTAGAAAGAGCGAAGCTATTGAAATATCCTCAACATGTACCACTGTAGCAGCAATATGTTCGTTCTGAATTTACTTGTATCGGAAACAGTCGTATATTATTTGTTGAGGTTATTTATTCACTGTTGCTTAAATGTACGATCTGATATATTATCCATAACAAAATATACATTCCCTCGATCATAAATTGTCTACGATCTCCCGCAGTCTTCGTAAACATTTCTTCGGCCAACACGAAAAGGGTGGGAAAGTTCTGCGCGGACGCGGACTTCCCGGCGAAGTTGGTGTTGCAAGATGTCAGACAAGCGGCCAAAAAGGCAACTAAGGTAGTGTAGGAGTTACAAGTATTTTCATTATAACATTTTCTGGAATTCAATTTAAAAATACCAACTGATTAAAAGTCCTGCGACCTTGTAGTGGCAATGCGTTGATGTTAAAACTCTGGAAAACTCGGACGGGGAGCTTTCAAGCTCAAGGAGTTGTGTTTCCATCAGAAGAGAGAAAGAGGTAATTTTTTTTTTTCAAATCTGTTTCGCTCATCCAATCGTTTAGAGTTTGAGCTTTCTTCCCAACAAATATACATTGCATCTCAGAAGCTCAGAAGAATTACTAAAAGAGAAAGAAGATGAGTTGAAAAGGAGGCAGGACTTAGAGGAGCGACTGGAGGAGGGAGAAAAGAAAAGAAACAAAAAGAAAAAAATAAATTTGTAGACTGCTTAGAAATACTTTTTTTTCCTCATGCATTTATTTTTTTCAAGATCATTTTCATGTACATGCACTTTCAAACTAATATATTTTCAGTGGAGAATTACTTCATGTCATAACCTCATTACAGTACTTTCTGTTGAACTTCTTGGAGAAAATGGATCCCTCGCATTCTGGGGCATTTGTTGACCATTTCTTTTCTTTCCTACAATGAAATCATATTTAGCTTCAAAACAGTTCATTTTCTGCCAAAGGAGGTAGTTACTTTTAAGTGAAATCTGCAGAATGTCATCTCCAGAAACTAAACAAATCTTGCACGCAGAGAACTTGTGTTTTTTCCTTATAAATGGATTGTATGGCAGACATCCTGAGGAATCACAAACACAAAGGGAAGACAAACTGAAAGGATGAGTGGGGAAAGGGATCAAAGGCATCAAAGGCAGTAAAAATATAATTTTTACTGCCTTTGATGCAAGTCTGATTATGTACCAAAATGGCCACATACCAATAAAAACCACTGAAATGAATGAGAGATCGTTGAATGTCGAAAAGTAATTGGTTTAGCATCAACCAAGCTACACGGTTGGCTTAAAACTCTCTCGCCACTTTTTCATCCAAACAGCTAAAATCAAAACCAATTGTGACTTACTCGCACACATTTTCCCACCCTTCATTTCAGCTGTTTGCAATTACTGCGAGTTTTCATTGGTTCATTGTATTTTCTGTGTCCTTTGTGATTAAGTAGAGTTTTTAAAATATTACTTTGCCTTT